AGAGCGAGAGAGAGAGAGAGAAAGAGAGGGAATAAGGCCCCGAAGGGTCCGTGGCTCCGAGTATATGCAGAGAACGCGGTGCACCAGTTATTTATTGTAGCTCCCGTTTATGCTTTATTTGTTATTTGCCTGGTCGGCTGGCTCGGCTTCACTGCCAGCCCACGTAGGTGTACGAGAACCTACTACGAGGGTACCTTATCTACCTTCCAGACATGCGTTACACAGCCGTTGCTTCGCCGAGATGAGCCAGATTCGCATAATTGGCCGCTTAATACGGCGCATTTTTTTCCCGCTCGACGAACGTGCAACCCCGCCGATCGAATAGAATTTCTCTCCCTCCTCCGCCACCTCCTCCACCACACCACCTTCTCTGCTCTACCTCGTCGTGTGTGGACGATGATTAAAACCTCCGTCGAGCTGATTTGTTAATCACCGCAACACGGAGTTAATGAGATTTTCTCGGAAAGGAGCGAGATATCGAGGACGATTTCGATTCTTTCGCCTGGCGGGTTGGCCCCGGTTGGCGATTCCGATAACGATAGAATTATCGATCATCCGGGGGATCGATTTTTCCATCGGCCGGCAACCAGACCCCCAGAGCTCCGTGTCCGGGGATCGATACGGCGAGTGAGGTGGTTATACGCGATACGACACGGGCAACGGAACGCAACAAGATCGTAAAGAACTGGACAGGGGCACAAAGTTGTTCAATTAATGCTTATCGCGCGCTAACCGAACGTAACGGACAATTTTCGGCGGATGTTCGGCATATTAATGCAGCCGGAGGATGCACGGGTTAAGCCGGCGCGGAACTGTTAATTAAATTGTATTTAATACGAATTAATGACCGCGCGTATCAACGAGCCTGTTAAGCATCCGTCGTAAATGAATGTCGAACAGGTGCAGGCTGGCAGACGTGGTTCACGGATGTCGGCGGTAATTGTTCGAGTCGTAAATTGCTTGTAATTGTTAAAGCCCGTCCCCGGCATTCTACGTAACGCGCGTTCGCTGAAATTTCGAAGCGACCATAATCGAAGACCGGCGAGCCAGGGGCACGGGTCGCGGATAATCAATTAAGCTTCGTTTGTACATCCACGGAATGGCGGTCGCGTACAAGCTGCGACCATCGCTTCCGAAGCGACAGAGACCTTCGAATGCCCTCGCCGTCTCGTCTCGTCTCGTCTCGTCTCGTCACGTCACGCGTCGTCTCGACGGCCAAAGAGACGAGTGTATCGGCCTACGAGTGTCATCCGCGAACGCTACAGGGTCCGTCCAGGTGCGCAGGTTGCGCAGCGGGGGTACGGGACGGAAACGCGTGCCGAATTCGCGAGATGGTGGAAAAGGGTCGGACGAGGTGGCGGCGGATCGCGAGAGGGAAGGACGGAAGCGGTAACTGGCGAGGAGATTGCGGCGAGCTGGTGCGATCGGCTCGGTGTGCAGGCGCGCGTGCACGGTACCGTGGTGGACGGATAGTTAAGTGATCGGTGGGGTAAATGGCGCGCTCTTAAGAGTGCACCTAAACGCAAGGTAGCCTCGACGGGTAACGTGGATGTCGAAGAACGTCCAAGAGATCCGGAGAGTCGGACACGGGGGCTAGGGGCCGGGTGGGTGTGAGGGGGAGGCGAAGAAAAGGAAGAGTTCGGTGGAGACGCTAAAAGATGGCCCAGCGATGAGACATGGGCGGCATGTCCATTTATTCGATTTATTTAAATTATGGGACAATTGACAGTAGGCATTCTATTTTTTAAATCTCCCCGGCCAACCGGTTGATTGGGCGAGATTGGCGTGAGACACTGGCCCCACAGATTCCCCAGTTGTGGGCTTAATCAGCTTTGATTGCTGCCCTCTCTCTCTCTCCCGCCTCTCTTTCTCTCTTTCTCCTTCTGCCATCGCTCTCCCTCTCTCTTTCCTTCTTTCTCTTGGCCATCTGTCTCACCGTCTCTGTCCTCTGGCCGACACTTTCGTTCTCTCTCTCTCTCTCTCTCAACCTCTCTCACACTCTCTCGCTCTCTCTTTCGCTCCTCGTTTTTTCTTTTTCCTTTCTCGTGTCGGGGCGAGCGTGCACAACGACGAACCCGACGAACAATGCACAATTTTATTTTATTCCGTTTCAGCGCGGATCTCGCGACGAGTTTAATATCGTCCGGGAGCGCGAGACGTTGATTGGCCGATCCGAAATTGTGGGAATGTGTCTCTGGATAACAGAGACACCGAGAGAGGCCGCCCACTCCTCTCTCTCTCTCTCTCTCTCTCTCTCTCTCTCTCTCTCTCTCTCTCCCCCACCTTCGGTCCTCCTTTGTCAAACGATTACCATAATTTCCGCTGTCAGTTCTGATTCGTTTCTTCGTTTTCAACTGAAAAACCCCTCGCCGAGTGGAATTCGCCGACGAAACGACCGCGAGGAGGCCAGAGAACGCGGGGGGCGTTCGTGTCGCATGGCGAAAGAAACGGCGAAGAATCCGCGCATCGACGATAAAACGAAGAATCGACGCGAGCCACGACTCGATAGGTAGACCGTTCTCGGCTGGTGTGTATTTATAAACGAGTATCGACGCTATTACATAACGTCTCGATTCTATCCCCGCGATGTCCTATAATTAATGAAATTCTCATCGAGTCACTGACTTCTCGATTCTATAGCCAATCGATCGCGGTGCTTCGTGGTCGATCTAAAATTAACTCGCGTCGTTAGAACGTCACTGGGACCTCTTTTGCAAAGGGACTTTTTCGTCTCGTTGCGCGTACCTCGTTTAGGAATCTCTTTGCGCGAACATGTCTGACGTAACCATTCTTCTAGAAACATTCTTATCCGCCGAAGAATAGCCCGAGCAGCCGACCACCGCGCGAGCAGCCCGATCGCGCCACGAGAAATCGATGGAATCTCCGTGGAGAGAGTGAGAGAGAGAAAGAGAGATTCATCTGCATCCCTCTCGCCGTCGATCCATCCGATGTCGCGACGTTTCTCCGTCGATGACATAATTTTTCCAACGCAACGAATCGGAGGGGGTGGGTGTGTATGGGGGACCTGCATGAATCCGTTTCCACGCGCACGGTCTTCCTCTCTTTTACCGATCGTCGCGGCCACAGCGAACCCCCTTCAGCCCCCTCGTGGGACCCACTTGCGCTCATCCCATTTCCTTGATAATTCCCATAATGCTGTGGGCGGATATTCCAATAAAGGGGGAAGAGCCCCAGGCCACAAAACGCTGAAAGCATGGGACACGACTCGTTTCGTCAGGTTGCACACGATTTACGAGCCTGCACGGATTCAATCGAATAAATAGAAGGCGAGACGCGCGTGCGTCCTTCGTTCCAACGAGATTCACGGATGCACGACCGGGTCACGTGACCGTGGGAATTGATAATTGGCCCGGGATGCGGGACCATTGTGTACCGAGAGAGAGAAAAAGAGAGAGAGAGAGAGAGAGAGAAAGAGTGAGGATTCGAACGATCGAAAATGGAAAAACGCAACGTCGCGAGTGGAAACTGGATTCGTAGGAAACGCGAGGCTTTTCCGACAGACAGACCAGAGAGGACCAGCAGAGACTTCCGCTCGTGAAGTGAAACGCGCGCGTGGAAAATCGTGGACCACCTGTTGAGCGATTCATCCCTCAACGGCGAGAGATAGCGCGCGCGCGAGCGGTGTACGGGTCGACGACGGTGGAAAAACTCGATGAACGTTTGGAAGGAAAGGTCGATGACCTTGGCGTCCGAGAGATGGGGGTCCCGAAGGAAAAGATCGTCTGCTCCGAGAGGAACAGGATCGACCGAGGGGGTCGCGGCGGCTATCGAAGACGCCGCGAGGAATGAAGACCTTTGTCTCCGGCGTGATAACAGGTTTTTAGCCGGGGACAATTAAAAAAGACGATACGAGGGCAAATCGACTGGTTGAACCAGATCGTCGTCGATTTCGACGCCGTGTGCACCGCTCGCGACCCCTTGCCTGCCCCTCCGGCCACCCCCGCGCCGCCTCCGGCCGCTATCTTTTCTTTTGTTTTCCCCGTTGCACCTTTCTTTTTCTTATCCCTCCCTTCCTGTCTGCTTGCCGGTTGGCGCAGGGTCGTCGAACGGCGGAGACTCGATTTGAATCTAATTACGATCCCGATAATTCCGTAAGGAGGCGGAAATAGTAACTCACCGGAAACCTTCGGGTCAGCTGCGTCCACCTTCATCGCCGCCAGGCTCGCTATTGTCGGCGGTACCTAAAAGAAAATACATTACGATGTACAATGCACCAGCATGCTCAGGGCCGTGCTCGCGATGGGGACGAAAGGGGGCCGCCCACGCAGGCTCGATGGGGGGACACGACGGAGCGCGCCTCTATGAATCCGCGACACGTGTCGTTAAAAAGTTGAATGCCTCCAAATTATCCATTCTTTCGGGAAAAACCGACCCGCCCTCTTCCCCCCGCTCCCCTCCCCCACGATCTTCGCGCGTTCAAATTTCTCCATCGAAACCGAATCCAACTCTGCGTGGTTCGTTCGACTAACTTTCTTCCCCTTTCTTTTCTCCGAACTTTCGTTCCCTTCCCCTAGATATCCCCTACGATCCTGCGCGAAATTTCAGACGTTCACCTTTGCTCGGCGAGTTTTCGCGACGATAGAAATTGCGACTTTATCGTTACGACATCCTTTCTCGAGACGTTACGCGAAGCGGAAACGGCTTCCGGTTCCCCAAAAACGTGCAAGTACGACCCGTAGGGTCGTCGACCTTCGCGACGCGAATGTGCAAATGTGTGTCAGGAACAACCGCGGGGAAATGCATTTTTAAGCACGTCCTCGATTAAGAATTCTCCTCGATCGAGAATTCCAATTGGGAGTCTCTTCGGATGCTCCCGGTGACGCTGGCAACGGAGAAACGGTCGCCGTGGCTGGTGGAAAGCGACGAATCGAGCGTGTTATAGGGACGGGTAAAAAGCAAGGGAAAATGTGACGGAAAGGGATTGCCCGGTTGCCCGGAAGCCCCATCGCGGTGCAAATTATTCGAATCCTGTACGATTTCCGAAGCCGTATCTGCGATGCCGATCCGATGGCGTGGTTGAATTTACGAAGCGATTGCCACATCGTTCGTCTTGCTTGTCTTCCTCCTCTCGTTTCCATTTTCAGCCAAACGGGTCGATTTTCTTCTCCGCCTCCGCGGGCAGACGGAACGCGGCTCACGTGCACGACAATCGCGTACCATGGATCCCGTGTGGCCACCGATCAGAGCATTTATATTCCATGCTCATAATTATCCGCGACCTTCGATGCCCAATATTACGGATCGCTGTGCGGATCGCATGGCAATGCGGCGGAAAGAATGTTTCGCGGCCGTTTCCGCGGGAAATCGATATCGATCCGACAAAAGCCTATTCCCACCGCGAAGCGGACCATCTCCTGCGCTCCTACGAAGAAAATTCCTCCGCCTTTCCGATTCGCGGAAACGCGAGAACCTCGCGCGAGCGTTGCAACGAGAACGTTCCATCGAGCGATCGATGGGTCGAGGTAGAAATTCGAATAGGTCGGATAGGGAATAATTAATTATGGCGTGGAGACCTTCTGCAGATTCCAGCGAGCACGGTCTTATCCTTGGGTGATTCACGGCGCCAGAATGCCAGGCAAACGTGACAGAATTCGACTGGAGTCGTTCCACACGGAATCATGGATAGCATGAAGATTTTTGTGCTATGAGACAGCCGGCTACTAATCCGTGTCATAAAGCAGAGCCATCCTCTCCTTTAATGGCCGCGACGTCGAAAAGAATAGCCGGCGTTGGGGCACGTATGCGCGAGAAGAGGCCCGGAAGAAGCGACCGACTCCCACAAAGGGAAAGAAACCAGCAAAAAGGACCCCAGCCCCCTTTCCAGACATCGGAAAGTCAGTACGTGCGCCACAAAGCAGATTTCGATTGCAGAGTAGCCCGCGCACGGGGGGTTTCATAGAGTGCCATAGGTGCCCGGCGAAACTCGGCGCACGAGGAAGAAAGCCTGTGGCTGCGCAGCAGAAGAAGAAGAAGAAGAAGAAGAAGAAGAAGAAGAGAAGAAGAAGAGAGGCCGAGGAAGGAAGCAAGGATCGTAGAAACAAATAGAAAATACCGCGGTACGGTTGTGTGTGCACGTTGCCTAAGAGGACGACGACAACGACAAGAGCAGGAGGAGTCGGCGGAGGAGGAAGAAGAAGAAGATCGAGCACGAAAAGAAAGAGCGGAGAACCGCGCAAGAGAAGGAGGAGAGGGTAAAAGAAGA